GAACAGAGAACTGCCACTAATCTTTTGACATATTTTTTATCACATCTTTTACATTATTTTAAATATTGTTCTTCGATCAGGAAAATCAAAAGTTCAGGTTTTTTTTAGGTCAGACATCAGTTTTCCCAGAACTTAAGATGAAATTGTTCAGAGATAAAGTGAGAAACAGCGCCGCCTGCAGGTCTCCAGCTGAACAACCGATAAAAACAATAAATACAAAAATCTGCTTTCATTAAATAATAATAAATTAGGTTAATTTATAGGGTCTCAGTTCACTCAGAAATAAATTAGACAATGTGTTTCTTAAAAAAAAAAAAAAAACTGATCATTTTCACACTAAAAAAGAATATCAGAGTCAAAACGGCCAAAATTTTGTCGTTTTTTTAAATCAGTTCTCTGTTCAGTTCGTTTCTATAGCTCCAATTCACCACGCATGTCATATCAAGGCACTTTCCAGTTCACCAGATCATCCAGTTTATCTGAAACACGAACAGATCCAATGTTTTTCATATAAACCATGATATTTAAGATTGATCACATGACAGCATCTGAAACAACTAAATAAAACTTTTAGCAGAAAATTTTCCTTCTTCTTTAGCAGATGAACTCAAACATTAACAGGTTGGAATGTTGATTCAATAAAACTGCTTCCTGTGGCTTAAATGAATGGATCATAGATCCATCACACCTTCTGTTTCCTTGTTCCCTCCCAGTTTACAGCTGGTTCTGCTTGCCCACAGGGCTGATGGGAAATGTAGTTAGTGTTCTTTTTAACTAAGCTGTTTGGAGAACATTGTGAGTGAATTATTGAGTATTTCTAACTGTTCCCCCTCAGCTGAGAAATAAAAACAGGCTTTAAGGTTTCAGGTGAATCAGAGGAGTCCACATCCTGACCTCTTGACTTTGGTTTCCATGGAAACCACCTGAGCGGGTTAATAATTACAGACAATGAGGAACTGACCTCTGATCAGCGGGTTGGGGGAGGTGGCTGAAGATGTCTGTTGGAGATCATCTCAGACGGTCCAGGAAGTCTGGACCTTAGAAGGATTTCAAACCCAAACCTGCTGCCGTTGGTCAGGATGGAGCTGGAGGTGAAGATCGAGCTGCTCAAGTTCTGCTTTGGGGTTTTAAACTCCATTTTCCTGGTAAGACGTCAGAGTTTCCTGAATGATTAACCAGGAGAAGGAGCCTGCTTGTTTTCAGCTTTGCTTCTTTTGCAACACTTCCTCATAACTTTTCATTAAAAGGTTGTTTTTGGGTGTCAAACTTTCGCCACCAAAGGCCCCAAAAATAACATCGATGGATGTGAGTTTGATTGACAGTTTGATTGACAGTTTGTTCTGACAGTTTTTGTTTTGGTATTTATTTCAGGTAGTTCTGGACTCTTTCCTATTTGCACATATAGTTTCCCTTTGGTGGCCATATGGTTCAGTTTTGATGTTTCTCAGTTAGATGGAAAGCTTGTGGTGTGGGGGGGGGGGTCTTCTTTATTGTCTACAGTGGCGTTGGATGTAGGAGTTTGTCCTGAAATTGAAGGGTTGACGGTTCAAGCCCCGACTCCGACTTTCAGTGTCGTTGTGTCCTTGGGCAAGACCCTTCACCTGCATTGCCTACTGATGGTGGTCAGAGGGTGGCGCCAGTGTACGGCAGCCCCGCTTCTGTCAGTGAGCCCCAGGGCAGCTGTGGCTACAGTGTAGCTCACCACCATCAGTGTGTG